GACGGAGCGAGGCCACGCAGTGGAGAGAGGATTTCACGAAGCGGCCTGCTCGGGCTTCCATCCTCACCGAAAACCCACCCCAACTTTCACCCTCGCAGTACGCCCGGACGACTCGATGCTCAAAGATGGCCGCCTAGCTGGCTAGGAGGTCACCGGGTGCCTCGCTAGACCACGCCCTACACTCGCCAAACCCGACAGCTTTCCACCGGCCGATTTAGCTTCCACAGCCAGTACCAAGGGCGCCTCAAGGACGAACGCCACCGCTACTCCTTCGACCAGAATCCGAGCCCCCTCACTGCGTTCGCTTCTTCCCGGAAATTGCGCAATCACTCCTCGCGTCTTCTTTTATTTTATTTTATTTTTTCCTTTTTTCATTTTTCCCTTTTTTCCTTCACCTCCCGTTTTGGTATTTTTGAGAAAACGACACTTCGTATTATACAATTTTTCCACCATTTCTCCGCCCTCGGTTTTAATTTTAAACTTCTTAAAGTTCACAACAGGCTTTAATTTCCAGTTTTTCCTCTTTACTTCAAAGCTACCGTGTGTTGCCTATAAATAGTCGCCGATCCTTTTTTTTTTAGAATAGACTCCAAAATTGGGGAATCTTTCTAATTTTACTTTTAATTTTCAATTTTAACGTTGGACCTACCACCACCTAAATTTCGAAATTTTTATTAAAAATTCCGCATTTAACGCTATCGCTTTGATCCCTCGAATATATTCTCTTCCACCATTTCCTTCGTTTTATCTTTTCATCTACCGACCATTGGGTTCATTATTGAGGAACAGGAAAGATCTCGATTTCGTGTGTGGCTTCGTCCCTGCTTCATTGCCTGTAAACAGCGGCTAATTCTCGTTTCTGGATGTTCAGAAGGTATTTATCGCTGAGTCCTCACGTTCCTTTCCACGAGAGCTCGTTGCAAATATGGGGCCAGTCATTGACGGAAGTACAACGGCCAACGGACGAGTGAGTTACGCGTGATGAACAATTATGGAATTCAAAGACACACGACAGACGATCGAAGAGAATACAAAGAGGCGGGTTGAGTCATGGCGGAGTATCGCGGCTCTCTTTCTCGCGCCGAGCTAAATAGGTTTTTGGAGCGCGAGCTTTTTCGGGACAAAATCGATCGACCTGTTTCACTGGCCTAATTACTGGTCTCCGTCCTAGAGCTCTCATGGGAGTTCAACTAGACTTCTTCCACGCGTAAACTCGCTGTCTCCCGGCATTCCGATATTCCTTATCGTCGTATGACCTCTTCGTCCGCGATTAACTCTGCTCTTTCATTTTTCTTTTTCAGTTCTAGCCTTAGCTAGACACTCGACACGTACCATATCGAGTGATTTCGTCATTGCCGTACGCACCGTTTCTTTTCCTTCCACGATTTCGACGTTTGGGAGAAGTATTGTCTCGTCCCCCTAGCGAGGCAAACGGTTCAGGTCTTTCTTAAATAAATATACTTTGTTTCGTTTGTTAGACCAACGTATATTAGGTGTGGATATCATCTTAAATGGAAATAAAACAACGAGATGATCGACATTATCGTTAAACTTAAATAAACATTGCAATGATCGCGACTGTGATAATACTAGTAGCAGATCTTTATTTTTCTCTGTGTTTCTCGATACAGACCTAGGTTTATGCATTTGCAGATGACATGTCTTAGCCTACACAGCTTACGTTTCGTTACGTCTTATTACGAGGCGAGATTTATTCTGCTTGTAATTATTATACCTCAAATCTCCCTATCTTCTTTTGCCACAGCTAACGATCACGTATGCAATTGTCCAAACTTTCTGGAACCGTTCCTGGCACGTGCAACATCGAATGCGATCTTCAATCGTGCTCTCAAAGCAAACCACGTAATCACTGTTGCCGCTTCTTCGTGTCAATCTCGCGTTTGTTTGCTTCTTTATGTAACGACGTAAACGCAAACATCGACGTGGAACTGGAATTTCTATCAGAGACTGTTTCCATCTTCGCCAAACATTTATCCTCTGCAACGACTAATGGACCATCCTAATTTAAATACGCGTTGTACAATACCCGAGTTGTACTTAAAATAAACCTCCATTCTTTGTCCAATGGAGCTAATCTACTCCACAGCCAAGTGACTCGTATCGACACTTGTTTATCGCTCGCTGTATCAAACTGTGACGCCACGACGCTGGTGTTAAACCGAAAAATGCAAGTCTGCAAGTGACCGATATGTACCTTGGAGGATAAGGTTCACGCAGTGGGAAGTAGGTAAAATTTCACGACGGCCATGCCTGTAAACATTGCGCGAAATTACTCGGCACATGCACCTAGGCGACGTTATTGGCCACGCCGGAATGCTCGTTTCGCGAAGGTGGGCCAATAAACGTCGGAGACTTGATTTCGTGGAGCACCGGGACAATTCGCTCTCCATCGCGGGCTGAAAAGCCTTCCACTACGGGACAAACCGCCCTTTTTCCGGCGCGCAGCGTCGCGACGCTGTACTCCACTCTCCGGGCTGACAAATAATATCTGCGGGTTCAACTGGAACGAACTGCTCTTTTCTAATAAAAGCCGGAAGAACCTTCCTCGTAGAGGCAACTAGTCATGACCGTGCTAACAATTCGCACTCGAACGGAGATCCTCAGGCACCAGTTGGGAAAATTGAATTATAATTCCGAATAAAGATGAACGTTCCGTGTGAAATTGAAGGTAATGCAACGATACATGGAACATTCGAATTTAATTTAACCTCTTAGGCATGACTGAATTTTACGCGGGAGTTGCTTCTCTTGTTATTTATAAATTACCTGTAAACGATACAGCACTGCAATTTGTGATCGATCACGCAGTTCTGAAAATGAAAATTATAAAATTTTCGAGCCGATGTTTCTCTGTGGCGAAAGAACCTTCGAGTGCGGAGGGTTAATTGCGAGTGCGTTCGTCCACCAGTTGCACCTGTGCGTTCGTGCCGCGCAATAAATTCCTTTTCGCACGCGTTCATCGACTTTTCTCGCATTCATTCGATGCCATTATAAATATTTTCGAGTACCTGTTCCAGTAGTCGCTGGAAGAGGTCCTCGTTAACACCCCCGCGAGCTTTATGCGTTTGCCAGTCTTTCAATTACATCTTCGGCTTCCCTCATCCGGATTGCTCGTTATCCAGAAAAATCGAGGCGGTTCGGTAATAAGATTAATCACTTCGTATCTGACACTCTGTTTTCCAGGGGATGCTGCAGCTGAACCTACCTACCTACCTACCTATCTACGAGGACAGGTCCTGGGAACGTTGGATTCGTCGCTGTGCAGGATTCCTACGGTGATTCGTGTAACGAGAGGAGCGTCGTAATGCCGAGGATCGGTGGGAAAGGAGGTGGTGCAGAAGAGGAAAAAGATGGGACAGAAGAGGACGCATCGGCGGCGAAGGAGGAGCGGAGGTATTTCCGTTGTTGCAGAGTCTATCCGTTTGGCAGGTTTGTCCGAGGGTACGCGCACGCGCGCGCACGACATGTGCCCACCTACCTACTTACCTACCTGCATCCTAGTTTGCCTGCCTGCCAGCCTGCTCTCTAGCTGCTCTCTGCTTGCCCGCTTCTCTCGGCCTGCCTGGCTGCCGGCCTACCGGTTTGCCTTGATCCCTTGAATAGCCAGGAGGTGGGTTGGTAGGTAGGTACGGCTTTCTTACGTAAGCGCTCCACTAGAGAGCGAGTTATCGTGGCAGGGTCGAGCAGATGAATCGACACGCAGAAAGAGATTTCCAGAGATCCAGCGGGCTCGTCCAGCGAATTCTTTTCGCTCCGTTCGCGGAACATCCGACTCGTAGTCTAGCTTTTGGCGGGTAAGGTCTCGAAGGTAATTTTCAAAGCGTCGAATATACTTTTCGGCGAGTCGTGCTTGATCTCTTCCATCTGATTCCAGCTGCTAGTCGTTGATAGACGCGCTCGTTTTCTAGGGAACAGTCGAAACAAGCGATCAATGGCTACCCGTCTACGAACCAGTCGACGGTGGTCGGAGTTAGCATCGGTCGGGTCGATTAGCGGCGCCGGCAATGAAACGTAACGATGTCGGGTTACTTATTGATCAGTGGCGACGACGATGAGACGAGTATTGTCAAGGCCACGAACTTCCTCGTTTCGTTCTTCGGCTCCGTTCGAGCTCGCATCGCTGTGGACGACGCGGACAAGGCGGGATCCGTGGCAGGATAAGGGGAAAAATAGAAGGAACGAGGGATATTTCGGTGGTGGAGCGTCCCGCGGATGGCCACGCGGCCCCCAAGCGGGCCAAGAACACACCACTGTGAATCGTACTCGGCCGGAGTACAGCGCTTGTGCGGTGACACAGATACTACGCCCTCTCCCAACCCCCTTCGCGATGCCCCTTGCTTTCATAGCTGCTGTAAACTGGGCCAGCGCATCTATGAAACGGACGCGCAAATTTACTGGATCAACTTTAGCGTTCATCTCCGCAGAGCTGAATATTAGGGTCGCGTTCCTCGCCGCTCGCTCTGCCTTTTTCTTCCATTTTCTTTCTCCGACTCGCGTATACGCGTACGCGAGCCACCATGCTGTGCATGATACGCTCTCTCGGAGTCTTGCTTTACCTTCCCTTGGATCG